AAACAATCATTTCAAACGTACCTGCAAGACGGTCAGTCAATTTATTGATTTGATCTCGTTTTATAAGATGCCAGGGGAGATACTCATCCAGGGGAGAGACTTATTGTACAGAGTAGAATACTTTGTGATTAGAGAAAGGATTTTAACATTATTTTATGAAAGAAAACAACATTTTATTGAAGTATTAACTTTATTCAGTCATTTTATAATTTTATTTATCAATAATTAATTGATAATAATTAGTCTTTAAAGTTTTCATATCTCCCCTGGATATCGTGTCTTTCCCCTGGCCCTTACAAGACAGGGGAGATATAAACAGGGGAGATACTTTTTAGTAACAAAAATAGAAATAATGACAAATGTATTTATTGTATGAAATTAACCAAGAAAAGTTAGAATCTATACACAACGAGAAGTAAATATACGAATGAATTAAAATTTTAAGATGAATATTTTAAAAATAAAACTTACCAGGGGAGAGACTCCGTTCACTCGTTGTCAACTGTATGCACAGAGTGCCAGTAACGAAATAAATGACTAAATGACTGCGCACCTAGTTCGAGTGGCTCTGATTACAAACTATACACTCAACAACGTTTGCTCAAGGTCTTCAATTCCCGCAAGTCAGTAAACAAAGGCCGATTTTACACAAAAATAAGCGTGCCAGGGGACGAGACGCAAAATACGGGGGACAAACGTAAACGTAATTTTTTTTTAAGAAAAAAAAAATCACGCAATTTTACTTGCTTGATTACGATAATTTATTTAAATTATTTTGTTGAAATGTATAATTTAAATAAGTTATTTGATTTTCAAGTACTTAAAATTACAAATAAATAAACAGAATCGGCCCGGGGACAAGCCAGGGGAGAGATGTTTTCCGACTTTGAGGTGAAATTGTGACTAAATTAAATAAAATTAAGAAATGAATTTGAGTGACCAATTATATGAGCACGAGTTTTAAGAGAAAATAACATTCTTTTTAATAAAATTTTTTAAAAAAGGTGATTTTTTGTTATGGACGTCGAATTTACGGCTTAACTGAGAATGACCCAAATATACAATATTAACTATATGGTATAAGGGCGGGCAATTTATAATGAATAACCCTGTACCTAATAGTTTAAACTCTCAGTAATAGTATATTACGTAACAAGAGCTGTAAGTAACCCATTACGCGAGTGCGTAATGGGCTTACAACTCGTGTAACGTACTATACTTTTTCTACGCTCACTTATTTTCTTCTATTAAATAAAGGACATACGCTTGTGTCGCCAATCCATAAATTTTCGATAGGTAATTACGTACCTTTTTTTGGATTTTAGCGGTAACAAATTATGTGTGACAGCTTGAGCTTTTTCTAAAATTTCTGGTGGAGTCCTCATAATTTCATCAGTTTCACTACTAACAGATATATTCATTGGTAAAGTTAAGAAAATGTTCGAATAATACAATACAATATTTTGTATAATGTATAATGTGTTGACGGTATTTAGGGGCATCACTTTTTTAATTCAAAATGTATCTCGCTAGAACTAAAAGTTTTTATGTTCTTCAATTCACTAAATTTATGTAAATAGACCAAATAAAATCGAACGTAGATAAAAATTTGATTGTAATTTGATTAAACTAGAAATTTAAGTTTTCTTATCAAAACGCCCGTGTATGTTATGAGATCTCATTACGTACATGTTATTGTTAAATGTCATTTACAAGGAATGTTTACAGTGCGATTTTTAACGTTTTCTGACATGGGCGTAGAAAAAATAATATAATTTTATTTGCACTTTTCACATGGGTAGATTAAAGAAAAAAATTATTTCGTGTTTTCTTGGTGCAGACATTTTGCGACACATTGTATATTGAAATCCAAAATATTGTCAATACTTGTTATTTTTGATATAATTTCTCCTTTATACAGGAAACTTCAGTTTCCTTTTTAGTTTCAACCAACAATATTTTTATTCATTGTCTCAAGATTAAAAAAAATACTGGACCTTATAATTTCACTATAATATGATGATCCCGAAAAGTTTATTTAAATTAATTTGATTCACCCAAACCTCCAAAACAGTTCGTTCTTAATAATTAAAAAATAGTAGTTTGTGCAACAAGAGTGGCCATATCGCACGAAGACGAAATTTGAATAAGACGATTTAGAGGTCATTAAAATTAAATAGATATTTTAAAAATCATTTATGACTACCAATTCATAAAATAAAACAAATAAAAAAAAGATTTGTTAGTCTGCTCGTGGGTTTGAACCAGTGTTGCCAGAATATATTTTTATAATGTACCAGATTTATCTAAAAAATGTACCAGATTTCATAAAAATGTACTAGATTCCATAAAATTACCAGATTTTTCTAATTATGAAGTTTGGTCATTAAAGAGCAAAAAAAGGTTTATAGAGAACACGAACACAACAATTTTAAACAATATTTTATCTCTCTACAAATTTCTGACACTATTTTATCTCTCCAGCAGTTTTTGAATAAGATTTTAATACCTTTTGATACTCTTTTATCTCTCGAACAGTTTTTAATTTTTTTTTATCTCTTGAGCTATTTTGAAACAATACTTTATCTCTCGATAAATTTCTAACAGTATTCTATCTCTCGAGCAATTTTTAACAACTTTTTTTTATCCCTCGAGCAATGTTTGTACAATATTTTTTTGTACAATTTTTAACACTTTTTAATCATTTGAGTAATTTTTAACAGTCTTTTTTACCTTTCAAGCTATTTTTAAACTATTTGATCTCTCGTGCAATTTTTGAGCAAAATTTTAACAATTTCTAACACTATTTCATCTCTCGAGCAATTTTTAAAAACGATTTTAATACCTTTTGGTAATATTTTATATCTAGAACAGTTTTTAAAAAAACCATTTTTGATTTCTTGAACTATTTTTAAAAAATATTTTATCTCTCGATAAATTTCCAACAGTATCCTATCTCTCGAGCAATTTTTAACAACTTTTTTTTATCCCTCGAGCAATGTTTGTACAATTTTTAACACTATTTAGTCACTCGAGCAATTTTTAAAAGCCTTTTTTTACCTTTCAAGCTATTTTGGAACAATACTTAATGTCTTGTGAAATTTTTGAGCAAAGTTTTAACAATTTCTAACATTTTTTTAATTTTCGAGTAATTTTTGAATAAGATTTTAATAGCTTATAATACTATTTTATCTCTCGAACACTTTTTAGCTCTTGAGCTAAATTTAAACAATATTTTATCTTTCGATAAATTTATAACATTATTCTATCTCTCGAGCAATTTTTAACAACTTTTTTATCTCTTTAGCAAACTGCACAATACTTTAACTCTCGACAAATTTATAAAAATATTTTAACTCTCGATAAATTTTTAACAGTGTTTTATATCTCGAGCAATGTTTGTACAATATTTTATCTCTCGCGCATTTTCTAATAGTATTTTATCGTTCGAGGAATTTTTAAGCAATGTTTTATGTCTCGAGAAATTTCTAATAGTAGGTATTTCTTGAGTCAATTTTGAATAATATTTTATTTCTCAACAAATTTTTCAATAGTATTTTATCCCTCGAGCAATTTTTGAACAAGGGTTTAACATTTTGTAATACTATTTTACCTCGAGCAATTTTTGAACACGATTTTAACAATTTATAATACTATTTAATCTCTCGAAAAATTATTAAATATTTTTATCTCTCATTAAATTTCTAACAGTATTTTTATCCCTAGAGCAATTTTTGAACAATATTTTACCCCTCAAGCAATTTCTAATACTATTTTATACTTAACTTTAACACCCTTTTTTACCTCTCGAGCCATTTTTGAACAATATTTGATCTCTCGTGCAATTTTTAAACAATGTTTTATCTCTTGAGAAGTGTCTACTATTTTATCTCTGAAGTAATTTTTAAGAACTATTTTAATTTCTGTTGCAATTTTTGACCAATATATTTTACACTTCAAATGGAAACATACGCTGAAAAAAGTACTAGATTTTGTTTCGAGTGTACTAGAGTACCTGATTCTCAGAGAATGTACTAGATCTAGTACAATTGTACTAGACTGGCAACACTGGTTTGAACCCCAGACTCCTAGATTCATCGTTTCACAGGTCAATTAGACATATAATTTAACTGTACTTTTTAATAATAATAATCAAATTCGTTTCAGTTTTAATAAAATTTACGATTATAGACGAATATCTTGTAGATTCCAATTATTTATCGATTTTTTCACAAGAATCATTCATTCATATTTAATCTCAATAACTAAAAAATATGTACTAACAAGTATTTTGACAGAATTGTCACTTATAACAACTAATGTAGAGGGCGTATCTCACCACCAAATAAAATCGTTAGTTAAATAATAATTGTTGTACCAATAGGCCATTACCTTCAATAATTTTTATATGGTGATTATCATACTATAGTTCCTTATACAATGGCAATATGGCATGAAGCAATATCCTGTTGGAAAAAAGATCACCGTCAACTCCACATCATTTACCAATACTTGGCAATAAATTATTTTGTAAAATGAAAAAGTGGAATTCTCAAAAATAACAAAGCAAGACGTGACCAAACCTAATATGCCAGAAAGGTACATTATAGACGAAGCAATAATTTGATATGTATGCTCTCCTGTAAAGTAACCAAAACCAGATATATCAAGATTCTGATCACAGTTTTTCTCCATGTCATTTCGATTGTATTAAATAGACAGTGGTAACGAAAAATGCGCAATATCTCAATGCTTGAAAAAAAAACGAAATTCCAAAAAACAATCATATTTCATCAGAATCAAAATTATTAGAAGATTTCTCTGAAGGTGATATTATTATAAGTATTTTAAAGGGTCACTGGACAACTGTCAGTTATTTTATAAATTTAACTATTTATTTTTAGGTTTTTCGATCCCACAAGGATTTCTACTGAACCCACTGCCCTTTCTTATTTTTGTAAATTATATTTTTAATCAAAATAACTCTTTCGATATTTTAGATGTTCCCGGGCCCATTCCAAGTCAACCAACTGTCGTGGAATCCGGCAGGAACTGGCTGTGTCTGGCTTGGGACAAACCAGAACAAAAATCGACGGTGCCCATTTTGGCTTATCGTGTAGAAATGTGGGCCAGAGGTGCTGAAGGAGCCAGATGGACAGAAATAGGCGTTACTCCATTGAACTCATTCGATGTGTTTAACCTAAAACCGGAAGTGGAATATCAATTTAGAATAACGCCAAGAAACAGATACGGATGGGGCGAGAGCGTTCAAAGTAGTGTCATGACGTTGGGAAAGCCAACAAGTTTACCTGAATTTACTAAGATACTGCCTGGACAGCACAAGGCTTTACTGGGATCTGAAGTTATTTTGGAATGTGAAGTAAGTACGATATTGATTAGAGGTTACTTATGAAATAAGTCTGAGAAAGATACTTTTTTGTTAATATGTTCAATTCTTTAAAGCTTATGCCTTAGTCATTTCTTCTGGGTTTCTATGTCTCTAACTCATTTTATTTTATTTATTAATATTGCTTTAATCTCCTTTTTCTTAGGAAATCAGTTATCGCTCATTATAATAATTTAATGCACTCGGGTCGTGTTAATATGAAATAGAAAAATTCAATAGCTATCTGAATAAATCTCTAGTTGAATTGTTTTCATATTTCGTTAAAAATTACTTTATTTCTTTGTTTCTTACATAATCCCATTTATTTATCTTTAGGTACAAGGAGAACCAATTCCCACTATACGTTGGGTCAAAGATTCGCAAGAAATATTCACGGAAGATGATGAACGTTATTACATTTCTCAAATCGGTAACATATGTTCCCTAGGGATATCAAACGTCCAGAATTCTGATTCAGGACGTTTTATGTGCGAAGCCACTAACAAAGTAGGACGTGTATCTACTTTTGCCAGACTGTCGGTGGTCAAAGATCCCAAACTGTTGACGGCCGAGTCGAGATTACGACTGTAAGTATATCGAAGATGGTATGGATTTGGGTACTTCATTTTCTACTTTCTTGTACCTTAAAGAAGGGACAAATGAAGTACCAAATATATAGGTATGACCTAAATGTCCATCAAGGAAAACCACTAGTAAATTACCAAGTAATGGTGTATGAACTACAAAAGATACTTTGAAATTAAGATAGTATCGATTTCTTCATTAGATAGGGTCCTGCAAACCTCTGTAGAACATTGGAACTATTATATTATTTCTTATTTTTCTTAGGGGTGTTGCAAATTTCAACAGCACGGATCCTCTACCACCACAATTCACCATGAGGCTCAGAGATAGACGAGTAGAAATGACTTACCCAGTGAGATTAACCTGTCAAGTAATCGGGTACCCAACGCCAAGTGTGAAATGGTACAAAGATGGAACAGAAATTCTAGCAGATGGTTCGTAATCCATCGCAACGAACTGTATTATAAAACATAACCTTAACATTACTTTCAGATCGCCATGCTTTCTTTAGGGATGACAATTTCCAGACTTTAGAAGTCACCAGGACGCATTTAGACGATTCTGGAACTTACGTAATGTCAGCGGACAACGAACACGGTTCTGTATCGTGTAGATGTAATTTGATTGTTGATAAAGGTATCAAAGATTATATTTCACCGATTTTCCTTAATTATCTGGATCCATCCGAAGCGAAAGTCAAAGAAGGTGGCGAATTAAGGTTGAAAGGAAGAGTTGAAGGGTATCCGGGTGTAGGACTGGCTTGGTTCAAAGATGGGGTAAGGTTCAAAGTTAATTATTATCGGGGGTAATAATGTAGGCATATTGTCATTCAGCTAGACACAAGAGCTCCGATTTAGCCAGATGTTTTTTACTGTTGTACGAGAGTTCTCACTTAAATTATCTATATTAAAAAAAAAAACAAGTTAAAAAAATTATCATCTCTTGTGGTATTAACCTTAATAATTTAAAATATTTGGTTTTTAGGTTAGGTTACGTCCGTCACGTCGATTCGTTATGACTCTATCGTACGACGGTACACTAGAGTTGTCGATCGGAAAAATTTTGAACAAAGATTTCGGACTGTATACTTGCGTGGTTAGCAACGAAGTGGGCAGGGCTCAAAGCAGCGCCAGAGTTGAGTGTTTGGACCAAACGGCCGCTACTGATGCCAGAAACGGTGCCGTTAGATCTGATATACCGTAAGTGGCAAAAATAGATATTTAAAATAGTATTTTTACACAAGGAGATTAATTGTTTGAGTAGAATCTATAGGTGTTTTCGGAAACCTACTATAGGTTACAAATCCAGATTACTAGGTTTACCCGTAGAATCACGTCGATCACTGAACTTAGTGCCGACGGTTTACGAACATGTCAAATTATTGTTCCTGTTTATCTACGATTTATTTGATTAAAAACTTTTTTAATTAAAATATTCAAACTTTTGTGCATTTGTAGTCAGACTAAAAAGTCACAATATGGGTATCTAGCCTAAATTTCATCCTCTTGCATTACAAATTACAAATAATTAAATGCAAATGTAAAAAATTTTAAAAAAATTTAAAACTACTACACCTGCCGTCAAACACCACCCATCAAAAAAGTTTAATTATTTTTACGTGCAGTGCGCATGCGATGCAAATCTAATACTATCACAAAATAATGATCTCGATCACAAAACTAGTTACTAACTTATAAATAATTAAAATTGAGCGTTAATATTTATATTGATAGTAGCATTAGAAGAATTCGTTAATTGTAAAAATACAATAAAATTTCAATTTATGTTTTGATTATTTTTTGAAAGGCTTTGATTTATTTTTTTTTTTTTTTAATAAGAGTGGTAACAAAATCTTCAAAAGACATTAGACGTCTGAGACGTCTAATAATGCCCGACTAAAAAACTCCACTCTTTTTCACAGGAAAGTCTCCTCGGAATCACCAGTCGGCATAACTTCGAAGAGACGTGATGTAGGGATGGTCGCAGGTACTTCTTAACAAGTTGTTAGGGTATGCTCATATATTTCTTCTTCTAAAATATCTCTCCTTTTGTCCCAGTATCTTTTTCATCATGTTACCTATCTGGTGCCATTGCTCTATGTTACTGGTCATGACGTTTTCTCTAGATAGCCTAATTCCAATCCGTTCTTCTAGCTCTAGCCTGATCTCTCTCCATTCTCCGCATTGAAAGAGGATATGCTCTACTGTATCCACATTCGGACAGTACATGCAATCTTGTTGCTCAGTCACACCTAATCTATTCAGGTATTCCATAAACCATCCGTGACAAAGGCTTTGATTAAAAAAGAGTTTCAAGCACAAGTAACTTAAAGTTCGCTTGCATAAAAAATAATATTTTCAGTAAAATTTACAAAATATCGATACTTTCCTTTATTAAATCAAACTTTTTGGTTATCAAATATTGATGGGCATAGAAAAAAACGATTAAAAAATGAAAAATATCTTCTAAATATTTTGATAAAAAATTATTGTAATGATAGGTAATTATAAAAATTCTCTGCAGAATCTTGAATATAGGGATACAACTTAAATCTTGCATTATTAAAATATGATTTGGAAATTTTGAGCCGAAAAATAAAACAAATGTTATTAGCGCTTTGCCTTCCCTCCAAGGTTCCATTTTGAATTACTTTCCAAAGCTTGTTGAGATTGTGATATTAATTTTATTAATAAATGATATCGTTATAAAGTATGATATAAAGTTTAATTTAACGCACCCATAATTTAACTAAAGTTTATTTAGTAATTTTTAAGAAAGCATTGTGGAGTGAAATATTGAGAAAGGTATGTTGAGATGGTTTGGAAATACAGGTTTGGAAAAAATTATACGAGCAATATGGTGTAGGTATGCAGGCAGTTATTCGTAAAATTTTGGAAAGCATCGTAATCAAATCGGTGAATATGTACAATAAACATTGACATAAACACACTTTTTACAATAAGTATAGCATAATTTTGTTATATTGTTTTTTAATTTTCGTAGAGTTGCGAAATTATGACGAATCAGCAGAGCCCGAGGAGGAAACCACTATGGTCAAAACATATTTCGAAAATCAGCTAAGACATTTTAATATGATTTCGGTGATTTCGCTAAAAAATACCCTGTAATTTTATAGATGATCTTTTTTTGGCTATTCCCTTGTTTTTTTATCTACAAGCGCTGCATTAGTGCGAAGAACTGATTTCGAAGTGACTTTAGTGATGATTTCGACCATGATTTTCGATAATGGGTTCGAAAATTTTTAGAAAATTTGTAGTGATTTCGAGTGAAAACGTACCAGTATTTCGGGAGTGGTTGACCTTTCGGCAGAGTCAAAATAAAAACTATTAAAATGTATTTTATTTGCCGAAAAGCAAACTTTTTTATTGCACAATCAACAATCTAGAGACATTGTGCTCGAAAAAATAAACATTTAAGTATTCCGACATTCACACAATATCCTCAAAAATTAAATTTATGCATTGTCATTTTAGGGGACCACATTATTGGCCCTTTTTCATTGATGGTAAAATTAATGGTCAAAAATATAAACATACCTATTAAGAGTTAATTAAGAATCAAGTTATTATTTTTCATTTGCATATATTTCCTAATTATAGAATCGGAGAATAACGTAAATACTGTATTTATTTAAATAGAGAGAACGATATTCCACAATAGTTCATGCATTACTATCGGAACTTTCTATTAGCTCGCACGCTCGCAGGTCACAGGAAAGGTGGTGTTGTTGTACACAAAATATGGGGATGGACGTTCACTCACAGTGCCTCTAGCTTATGGCTCATATAATTTTTTCCTAATCTGTATAAAGAGGATAAAGGATAAGACGAAATAAGTTTACAAGACGAGTGTGGATGAGAGAGTTGGAAAGGGTCGACTTCAGCAAACGTACACTTCGCGTCATATAAAAGTGGTACACCCATTTTTCCCAATGTAAAACCAACTTTACTTTTGAAAATGACAAACAGTAAGATTTGTTAAGTTTGTCAAAGCGCATTGTTACGATGTCAGATCCTTTGAGTTTTGAGTAAGTTTGATACTTCCTAGTTTGATAAAATGCGAAAACCACAATTAACAGCTTTGCAAAAATGGGACAACAATCAAATTGTAAACAGAAAAAGAGATTGGGAGATTAGTTATAACTATAGCACAACAAGATGACTCGTTAACTAATTATTTACGGCAAGATAGGCAAAAGTTGAAACAAACTTTAATGCTTCAGTAACAAAAGTGTTGAAAATAATTAGAAAAACTGATTTAAACAAATGTGCGCCGGTCTGCCCCGAAAATACACATTAGCAACGTAAATACGCGAATTAGAGTTATCTTCATTTTAAATTTTATTATGTTTTTAATGAATCAGTAAAGCTTGGCAAAAGATGAAAAGTTAACAATAAATTTAATTAACTCAGTGCTTAGAAGATTACAAGAAATTATTAATAATGAAGCTATATATTAATTGAGGGGGTGACTAAATTTTTGTTATGAGTAATGAAGTAAAGAAGATAACGATGAAATCTTCTCCTCTTTACTGAATCTCCCTAAAAAAAAAAAAAAGTATTCATCCCTCTTGTGCCGAACTTCTGTAAACAAAAAAACCTCGCCACAGTTGCCGGGCCCCCCTTATACCGCTGCCGGGCCCACATTTAAGCCCGGGCCCCGGGAATTAGTCCCGGCTGCCCCCCCTTCTTGTCGGCCCTGCACACTATCAAATAACTAGGTACATATTAATAACAAATGCAATACAAGAAAAGTCAATCTATCATAATGCGCCATTTTCGTAGTCTGACAATAATAGTATTCGTTGGTAAATGGAAAAACCATTGTCATATACTCAGACAGTCAAGCGACGTTAAAAGCACTCAGTTCCATGCAGGTACACTGAAAGCTTGTGTGGGACTGTTTGGAAGCCCTAACAGAGCTGGGTAGTCAAAACAGACTACCCTTAGCCTGGGTACCAGGCCACAGGGGACACAAAGGCAATGAAGAGGCTGATTTACTAGCCCGAGAAGGAGCTTCAAATGCTCGTATTGGCCCAGAACCCTTCTGTGGTGTAACAAAAACAACTATCAGAACATGCACAAAGCAGTGGATGTTTAAAAAATCTCAGGAGTGGTGGGAAAACTCACCAGGACAGAGACAGGCCAAAAAGTTCTTAAAAGGACCATCGTCTAAACTCACCGAGCATCTACTAAGCCTTAATAGGAAAAATACTAGAATACTAGTAGGTCTATTAACAGGGCATTGTAGGCTTAACAAACATATGTTCAATATCGGTCTGACAGAAGAGGCCTTGTGCCGATTCTGTCAAGAAGAAGAGGAAACGGCAGAACACGTATTGTGCTACTGCGAAGGTCTAGTAAGACTGAGATTCCTTACACTTGGAGAAGAAAAACCAAGGGCAACTAGCTATACCGGAGAACTACTTCCCAGTCTATGGAGTCTACTACAAAAGACCGCATTAGACAAGGTACTCTAAAAAATGATTAAAGGATATCCACAATAAATCTGAAAAGGTCGAGGTGGGGGAGGCCACATGGCCCATAGTCCTAATTAAAGGTCTATGCCCACTACACCGGATTATACTATGACCGTGACCGTACCGGCATAGGCAGAAAAATATTCTTTGTATAGATTTAAATGAGACAATGCCCACTAGACCGGCTCGGCATCGACCACACCATCCTCATTTGAATCTATACAAAAAAAAACCAGGTCCGGGCACGGTTATAGTATGGTACGGTATAGTGGGCATAGACCTTAAATCTAATCTAATCTAATAGTATTCGTTCCGTTTCATCTTCGTCTGCATTCTCGGTAGCTGTAGATGGCACAGCAGTAGTTTTTTCTTATTTTGCTTTTGAGAGGTCTTAAGCAGCGGACCGTCATGGGGTAATTCTTCATAAAAATCATGGTGGTATAAAATCCAACAGTGTCATTAAGTCTTTGTATTTGGGATGTTTTATATTTATGGGATGATCATATAATGGTTTTAGTTGCATTATACTACGTGGTCTTCCAACCTGTGTGGACTTCCAGTTAACTATATAAAAGTTAAAGTCTTCAGAAAGAGTTTATTTACATTTCATTTGAAATGGAGAAGCCTTTTTGACTCTAATTCATCTAAGTGGTGTCCATCGAAAATCACGTCCAACGTCATGTTTTGCACTTTGTTTAA